AATCCAAGTGGTGGAAATATGCCTAATTTGCATAAATTCAAAATAGCCACTTTAACCATGATTTTCATATTGATTTTGCCATAACTCTCGTCCTACATTGCTTTTTGGGGTACTTTAAACAACAATTTGTCCTTTTACATTGATTTCATCTTTATGCTAGTCCTGGGAACCTTTCTAGGTCCCTATGTTTCCCAAATTTGCCAAATGCCGTATAATAATCTTCCCATACAAACAGAAAAACCGCCAGCACCACCTATCACTACTTGAGGTCATCAGATGTGGGTGTAAGAAGCGTTTTCGAGGGTGGGCATGGGGGCATTTACCCACCACTTTTTTGATGATAAAAAGTAGTAATTAAATAGTAAAGTCTGTCAGGAGCAAGTGTGGCCCATTGGGCCATGGGCAGCGCCGGCATTTATCTCCGGTTTCAGAGAATATTTCTATTCCACCTGGATGGGATGCTAGTCCATCGCAGGTTACTCCACAGCTAATGCCGGCACCCATTTATACTCCTGGTTGGAGAGAGGCAAGTGTGGATGAAGTCTGCCCTGGGACACAACATAATGGCCAGCAGCTGAATTCGAACTCCTGACCCTCTGATCATGAGTCACAAACCCAAACCACACTACGGCACAAAAAGGAGTTTGATCACTGCTTGCTCAATTGGAAGTTGGTTGCTGCCTCGGCAAATAATATGGAAGACATAATCTAACTTTTGAAGCGCATTTCTGGTGCTGCACATGGCTACCCGAAAAAACCCGTCAAACTTCAATTTGGAGATTGACGGAGCCTCTAAAGTCCTTGGAGTTAATGTAACACATGCCTGTCATCTAAAAATACACAAAATTATGGCTGTTTTGTTTTTGCACAGACGTAATAAAATTATATTCTGAATTATCGAAAGATTGGTTCGTGGCTAGACTGTACGAATCATAAATTTTCTGCATAAGCAATAAAATATGCTTATTTTCTAAAAAAAAAAAAAAAAATATTTTGTGGCTTTTTGGTTTTTGCAGGGCATAATAAAAGTTTGCTCTGTTATTTTTTGGTCCCATTTTAATAGTTTATAAAATTAGGCAGCTGCTGAACGGCAGAGGGAATTGCAACCGCCCCCTCTAAATCTGATACTGTAGAAGGAGGCTTGTTGGAAATGAGAGGCTGCAATTATTGTCCATTTGTCTTTTGTTCTTCCTCGTTTCTACTCATGACTATTAATTTGTGAAGACATTTTTTTTTAAAGCAAGCCATCAAGTCAAAGTAAAAGAAGCAGAAAAAAAGCTGCCTGATATGGGAGACGTGATCCACTTTTTTTTGTTCACATTATGACTACTCAAAAACATAAGCAGTGTTCACTCGGTAGACTTCAATTTGGAATTTGACGGAGCCTCTGAGTCCCTGGAGTTTATGTAACATATGCTTATCATCTAAAAATACATGATTTTTATTATGGCTTTCTTGTTTTTGCAGGGCGTAATAAAAAAGTTTGCTCTGAGCCAACGAAAGAATGGTTCGTGGCTACATTGTACGTTCTGTTGAAACTAAACTGGTGAGGTACCATTGCAATCAGTTATGGCGAAAAAATGAGAAGTGTATGAAATAAAATAGTTCTTGTTATTTCGCCCTGGGGTTGTGGTGCGTGTGCCCTTGGGCAAAGCACTTAATTTGCCACTCATTTGGCCCACCCAGGATTTTTTTTGTAGCGGGGGCAAAGCAAATTAATTGTCCCCCAAAATCCTTGTATTCTCTCTAGCATATTTTCAATTGATCATTTTGTTTTTGGGTGGGCGGGGGACATTTGCCCACCCCACCCCCAGTGACACCCCTGCAGACGCCCATTTTGTTAAATGTGTATTAAATTAATAGCAAATATGACTTAAACTAGGCAGGAGGCACATGTCGTGCAATGTTTAGAATTCTGAAAGTAAAGAATTGAGAAAAAAACCTCTTCCATGCAGGCACAGATGAAGTCGCACAGAAAAATGAAGGATTATGGGGTATATTGCAAAAGTGACATTTTAGTGTTTGAATCCACATGTATATGTACATAGTATATATAAACACATGCACTGCGTTCAAAACTACATGTAGTGATGACAGTTTTCCAATTTATTTTCGCAATAAACAAATGAACCCTGTAATCCATCATGTTTTTGTACGAGTTCATCAGCGCCCTAAGACAGTCCCTACATAAAAAAGATTTCTTCCTGCTCCTTTTCTTTAAGAACTTTAAACATCGCGTGGCAAATAAATGTAGGGCCTATGGCCTTGTACCCCTTTTGAAACTCCCGCACTAATCCCATTCAAAGTGAGCAACTGCATGGGCTGGCTTTCAATTTCCATTATTTCCAATTTCCAGAGGAGCCAGTTGATTGACAAAATTTTATTGATCACGCCCCTTCGTTTCAGCAAGGAATGTGATTGGACAGGACGACCGTTATGACGAACGTCATGACGAACCGTCATGACTAACCGTCCAAAAACGAAAGAACGCTAGAAAGACTTGTGCGAATAGAAACTGCACGTGCCGAAAGTATGGTCTCTCTTGTTCAACTGCGTGCACTGAAAACCGTGGCACTAGTTGTGCCAACTCGCCACCACCAGACATTGATCCTAAGGTTGCTGAAGATTATAGTCTGCCACATAAGTGTTCATTCTAAGATACAATGACGTACGTGTAGATGATAACAATCAGACTAACATTGCATGCTAGCCAATATGGATGATAGGCCGCCAATATGAATCTTTGTGATATTTCTGTATTCATAACTGAACTTGGATTATCAGATAAAGTACAATTGTTTTCTCCCTTCACAGTAATCATATATGATAAGAAGTTAAGCTACGCTTTCATTTCATTTACTATTCCGTATTTTGTATTTTGAGTTGCATATTCGAAACTGATATTGTTAAGTGATTTAGCGAGAACCACTTAAATAATTGCGACCTTAACTATGATTGTGTTTTTATTTAATTGACTTGCTACTTGTTTCTTTTTAGTTGTTAAGAATTAGTATTAAACTTTGTCATTCTGTTCTTGGATGAAGATTACTCAATATGTATCTTGCGCCTCTTAAATCAGACTCAATAAAAGTGCAAAACCTGTTGAATAGTGCAACCCATTTTCCATGGCCTAAGTCCCAACATGGGTCCTAATTGTGCTGTAACTTCAACTTTACGTTACTTTATTTGAATTTATGCAAATTGATATAAGGCATTTATGCAAATTATTATACGACATTTGGCAAAGTTGGGAAACATAGGGATCTCGAAAGGTAGCCAGGACTAGAATAAAGATGAAATTAACGTAAAAGGACAAATTGTTGTTAGAAGTACCCCAAAAAGTAATGTAGGACGAGAGTTATGGCCAAATCAGTATGAAAATCATATAATTAGTGGCCAATTTGAATTTATGCAAATTAGGCATATTTCCACCACTTGGATTTTTTTTTTGTACTTATTTTTTTCGGGACCATATAAAGATGCTCTGATGTGGTGTGATACATAACTGAAAAAGAAGTTATTAGGGAAAATTCAATTGTGGCATGTCCACACATGACAGCCATAATTTTAATTTTAATTGATATGCAAATTAATATACGGCATTTATGCAAATTATTATACGGCATTTGGCAAAGTTGGGAAACATAGGGATCTAGTAGGGTACCCAGGACTAGAATAATGATGAAATCAATGTAAAAGGACAAATTGTTGTTTAAAGTACCCCAAAAAGCAATGTAGGACGAGAGTTATGGCCAAATCAATATGAAAATCATATAATTAGTGGCTATTTGGAATTTATGCAAATTAAGCATATTTCCACCACTTGGATTTTTTTGTACTTTTTTTTCGGGACCATACAGAGATGCTCTGTGGTGTGATATTTATGTATACATACATGTAACTGAACTAGAAGTTATTAGGGAAAATTCAATTGTGGTGTCAACACATGACAGCCATAATTTTAACTTTAATTTATGCAAATTAATATACGGCATTTATGCAAATTAATATACCGCATTTGGCAAATTTGGGAAACATAGGGATCTTGAAATTTACCTAGGACTAGAATAATGATAAAATCAATGTAAAAGGACTAAAATTGTTGTTTAAAGTTCCTCAAGAAGCTAATAGTATGAGAAATATGACCAAATCATTGTGAAAGTCCTAAAATATGCGGCAATTTTGGATTTATGCAAATGAGGCATATTTCCACCACTTGGATTTTTTTGGACTTTTAGTATGTCATTTTAGGGACCTTAAAGAAATGCACTGTGGTAAAAAAAATTCTGTTGCAATTTGTTTGAGGTCAAACCTTATATTGCCTGGACTACAGCTGCTGTAGGGGACTATGGTTCTTGATCGAACTTGCCCAACATGAATCAAATCGAGATTTGGAAATGTTGGCACTAGACCCGAGGAATTTCGGACATACCTGACGACGCGCGCTTCACGCCAATTAATGCGCAAGCCATTATGGAGAAGCCCACCGCTTAATGCTATCCATTGATCTAAATAATTGTCGAAATCTTTTTGTTTCAAAATGATTAAGTGAAAACAAATATGAATGAATCAATGAAAGCATTGGCATGCTTGAAATTCCTTGGCGCCCTATGCCGGATTTGATTAATCTTGGTAAAGGTGCTCTCTGCATTTGACTTGATTGGAAAAGGACCGTTATTATGAAGCCCGGGAAGGGACAGGGTGGAATTTTGTTTTGGCATTTGCTAATTCGTTCGCATGAATTACTAATTCGTTCGCACGAATTAGTAATTTGTTCGCACGAATTAGTAATTCGTGCGAACGAATTAGCAAATGCCAAAACAAATTTCCACCCTGTCCCTTCCCGGGCTTCATACGTTATTGTTCGGTGATTGATAAGAGTTGAGAAGATACGCACTGCATTGCAGTCGTTGACCCTCCACTTTTCTTCTGCTTCTACCCTGCAACAATTTCCTGGCAAGGATATTTAAAGTTGCGGGCGCAAGGTGGCTGCCAGACAAGGATTTATAGTAGTGTCCCCCATGAATTTTGTTCAAGTATTTTCTGATGTCATTTTCCAGGGTGGATCACTTGGAAAGGATACTATGTTGGCAGATTATTCTGATGTAGACCTTGTGGCTTTCGTCAATCCGCCCGACTTGGAACCCATCAGCGAGTATTGGTCGCCTAGGGACTATAAGAACCAACTCAAGACTGTCATTAAGGAATTCGAGGACTCCCTGTTCGAGCTGCCGTCAGTGACGATAATTAGATCTAACGAGTACTTAGTAAATTTTGCCGTGAAAGTTGGCAAGAGGACAGTGAGCGTCGATTTGCTCCCAACGGCAAACAATGGTAAGGAGTTAAATTGGTTTTGTGGTCAATAGTAAGAATTAGGGGCGATTTTAATTGTCAAAGGTTAAATTCGTGGAATTTCAATGATTTTATAAAAGCGAAGGATATTCACAATCGGTGCTTCATAAAGAGCCAACAAATATATGAACCAAAGTTGATTTAAGTGTTGGAACGGTTCAACAGGTGATAACCAAGGATTCAAATTAGGGAAAATCTCTGCAAAAGGTCATATTTTTGAGTAAGGACGGTTTAACGACGCCTCTTCGGTGTACAAAGAGACGCAAATCCAAGTTTATTGACGTAAATTCAATTTTTTCAATCATTGATATTATAATTAAAGTAGTTACTAAAATGTTTCGATAAACGATATTTTCCCACTGTTTGTTCTCAGAAAGTGGCGTCCTTACAGCGTTCTCAATTGCTAAACCTCAGACCCAAAAGGTCTGACTGTGTGTGAAATTATCGATTTCCATCTCGACAGATCACCCAGACGTGTACAGCGAAATGATGAATCAAACATCAAGTCACCAAGAGCGGGGATTCTACTCGGCTTCCTTTGTGGAAAAGCAAAGGGATTTCGTCATTGATCAGCCTGACGACGTCAGGAACTTGATCCGGATGGTGAAGTACTGGGCTTACACCCGTCTACCCAAGCGCCTTCAGAAGTCCTACCCGCTGGAGCTGATCACCATCTACTGCTGGGAGAAGGCCGGTGAACCAGAAAGCTTCGAAATAGTCGAAGGTCTTAAGGCCGTCCTCGAAGTTCTGGAAAGTCAACCGTGGAAACGGAGGAAGTTCTGGACGGACTACTATTCGAAGGATTTTGCGCTGGATATTATCAAGACGCTGGGCATGAAGTAGTAGGTTGATACTTATTCCTTGTTGACGAATTAGATGTAAATTCAACCCCTCAACTTTCTTAAAACGCTAAGATAATAGTCAACTTACCAGCAAACAGTATACGAAGGAAGAGATGCCAATTCCATTGTGTTGTTTATAATCTACACATTTTATTTTGTATTTTCAACATGAACTTGCGATGCCATTAGAAAGTGTTCTTTTTCTGTGGACAAAATGGAATATGTATTTTGGTTCGGGTAAAAAATGTATTTACCCAAATGTAGCCAACCAAATAGCACCCTCCTATTGTGTCCGCCATAACTCAACTAACTCACTTTTTAGGGGACCAACATTTTTTTTGGCCCCCAAAAGATTGTGTTCTGGATCCGCCCTTGGTTTGAAGGTGTTTGGTCAACTTGTATCTTAGGGCAGGGCAAGGCAAGGCAAATTAATAGAATGATCGGATTTCCATACAAATCTGTGGGCTGATTCATTGGGGCCTTCCGGTGCAGCCCAGCGTCCAACCACGAGGGCCTTTTGGCCAAGCTGGCTATTCCTTAGATGTGTCTCATTACCAAGAAAGTGGTCCTGTTCCTTGAAGGTCAACCCATTCAACTTATGCATATATAAAACATATTTTATCATGGGTGACACTACCTTCGTCCATAACTCTCTCCTTGACAATGGGGTACTTTTATGTCGATGTTCACGCCTACAGAGGGAACTTTTTATGATATTGCAAAGATACTAGGGGGAAAATAAGGGAAATATTTAGTGGAAATGTTCCTTTGATGATACAAGTACGGCATTTGACAAACATTCAAGAGTATGTCTTAAGAAAGGGGCCATCACAGATTCGTCCTTTGAAAAACTGTAGGTAAAATAACGTCCATGCAACATTCACAACTTTCAAAATGGCTGCCATTGCTTGTTATTCCACGTGTACTTTTTCAAAGGACAAATGGCATTTTAGCCAAATATATTTCTATTGACATACTCTGACTGTGTGCTAAATGCCATTTTTGTAGCATTAAAGGCACAATCCCACCATCGCCTATCTGCCATAATCCTTTACCAAGAACTGGGAAGTAGCCTACAGACGATGTCTTTTTGTGTTTCTGTTTTGCAGCCCTGTGATGTTGGATCCCGCTAATCCAACGAACAACGTGTTGACAGTGTACCAGCAAGGCGATAACATGAAGAAGATCCAAAATGCTGCCAGAACGACCCTTCAAACGCCGCTTCTGTGTGATGCATACTCGTTGTTAACTTAAGCTGTGAACGTACGTACTAAAGGGCACTCATGTCATGTCCGTGTCGTGACAGTACGGTGGCCCTGGAACGACATTTTTATATTGACCTTTTTAATATGAACCTTGTAACTTCTTAATATTGACGTTGTACCTTCGCAATATGCACGTTGCACGTAGCTTAATATCGCATTGTGGAAGTTGTTCCTTCTTAATGTGAATGTTTCTACTTGTTAATATTCACGTTCGATCTTGTCAATGTACACCATTGATCATGCTTGATTTCAACGTTGCACCTTGCTTCTTCGCAATATGAACCATGTACCTTTGCATTGTGAACGTTTGACCTTGCATCTTGTTAATATCATTGTTGAACCGTCCTCCTTCGCAAAGTGAATCATGCATTCTAAAAAGTACGAAGTCCTTGTCAAGCCCTGCAGTTAAACAACCAGTTATGATGGAGTTTCAATCTGACAGCTGTTTAATGTCACTTAACCTGGGTCTACCTTGTAGTGATTTTTATCATGAATCAAGGCTCTCTGATATATTTCACATCTATTGGTGATCACTGTGTGCGCATATTAATTGAAATATTCTAATACAGGGAGTTTCCATAAATATTATGATGGGGCGCTGTAAGTTGCCGTGCATCGTGGAGTTGCAGCACTGCTGACATGAACTGACACAATGGAAACCGCATGCAAGCGTGAAGTGTACACGTTTGCAGCCATTCAGATGTCCACATGAGCCAAGTTATCGCAACTGTAAAGTTTGCTCAGAATCGTATACAAAATAGTGGTTAACTATATAATTATTGTTTCTCAAAACCGAATGCACGGACAATGAAAACGATTGAACTTTCGTTGAATTGACATGGGATTAAAGACATGCATTCCAATTTAGACGAAATTGAATGACCAATTTTCAGAAGTGAATGAACGTTGCAGGAGATTGGCCGGGAAAACCTACAATTACGCGAAATTTAAAAAAAATATATTAAACAAAATACTCACAACTCTCCAATGTGTTTGAGACACCTATCAAATTAAAACTGACGTCATCATCTTTAATGTTCTGTTCAATTATTTTTGGTTAGTAATTCCCTGTCATTTTTTTTCTGGGGGGATGCATCCAAACATGTTCACATCTACAAATAGTTCTGCAGCCCATTGCCACTTTGAAAAATGATGCCTGCGCTTCATTGAAAAAATTAGAGAAGTTTTAGGGCCCAATTTCATACGAATTTCACAGTACAGAAATACGAGCTCGCAGTCCTGTGCACGGCTTCCTTCCATCGTTTTTACAAACCCTCGAGTTCATGGTCCACAGCCTAAACAAACGTGATTTAGGCAATTTTTGGGCTATTTATGGGAATTCCCCGGACCCGCACCCCACGCCACCTTGCACTGGCACCTGTTGTGTTTGTTTCAGGCCAAATATACACAACCGTTGTTTTTCAAAGCAACAGCCTCAGCAATAGGCCTGCTATCCTGTCCATCGTCTACTGCCTATTTTTTTTTAACAGTAAACGACTTGGCTACATTTTGTTCACTGATCTAAAGTATTGTTTGTGCTTCCCTCTTACATATTGTGTATTGGCCAGCATGGGCGTCGCCAGGATTTTTTCTAGAGGGGGGCAAAAAAAAATTTGCCAAAATATTCTTGTATTTCTCAACACATTCTCGATTTATCAGTTTTAGAGGGGGGCAGGGACATTTCCCCCCCCCCCCCAACTCATTAAATTTACACCACTTTGTCTTCGCGCCTCTTTTTTTTTTTTTTTTTTTTTTTTGCTTTTCCAGGGGGGGGGGGGCCCTTGCCCCCCTCCCCCCTCGCGACGCCCATGTTGGCCAGTCTTTGTGAGCATGCAATGATAAGCAGGTACCTCATTAGGAAAATACATTCACAGGGTCAAAGTCAATACAGTCTATCATGTGCTTCAGTAGATTCTGCTGAATCCGGAATGCAAGAAAGCTTGGGGTTTAAAGGAGAAACTGGGAGTACATTTTCCACGAAAGTTCAAGGTATTTAATCTAATGATTAAGCCTAAATCTGCCGGTTACTCCTGCATCATATTCTCTTCATACAAATTCCAACATTAAACATTCATGGAAAGCGTTACGATACAAACAAAAATGTCAGCTTCCTCTAAATTTCTGGTAAAATTAATGATTAATTGCCTTCAAGTGTAATATCCGGTACAAGGTAGTGCGCGTGCGCTACATAAAAAATGTGCTCTAAAAATTGCTCCAGTTCATTACAAAAGCACAAAACTGCACGAAATATTCCTCTGCACAAAAAAAATGGTATTTCGTTCGGTTGAGCGGGGCGAATTAGAACGAATTGTAGTTCTCAAATGTCACTCCGCCATACGCGGATGAAGATTGGAGCAAAAAGGGGGAGTATAAGGCGGTGCTTAGTCAGCATGGACCATCTGCGCACCGGCAGGCTCGACTTCTTCAAGTTTATATTTAATGATCATTATTATTATTATATCGCATTTATAGATTAGATTTTGAAATCGGGCACTTTGACCATAAAGTCATGCAATGTCGTAACTCTCAGTACGGGAAAAGTACTGTTTAGAGAAATTAATGGAAACCATACTACTATTAGTCTTATTCGTCTAGCGGGGTTTTCCAGAGTATTTTCTCGCAAGAGTTTTTATCTCTGGTTTTTCACTCCGCAGGCGTGCAGGATCAACATACAAATCACAACTTGATTGATTTAATGATGGCACAGTCACAGAAAAGTGTATCAGAAGCGTTGAAGTTATTTCTAAAGATTGTCGCTGTGTATGTATTCACAATCTGGGATCTATATAAAAATTGGATCCATAGTTGACTATTATTATTTAGCATATAATCGTATAAATGTAAATATTAAATTCATGAAAAAAAGAAGAAGAAGAAGAAAGAATAAATAAACGGGTAACACTGCAATGCCTGTCGGTGGCCAACCCAATGTTGTAAAATTGGTGCGACGTGTGGGCTATTGAGAAAGTGCACATACTACATAACATGTGTTTCCCCAGAACACTCCTACCGAAGGTCGAATCTTCCCTTCCATTAAAAAAATATTCAGCTGGACTCTAAAGTTTGGAACTTTAATGTTCACTTTAGAAATCCAAAGTCTGGTTTTTTGGGGCGAATATTCATTGAATCCTTTGGTATTGTCTCCGATCCAGGTGCCGGCTTACAATATTATAATAATATACGTGCATAAGCCTTCAATTCTTTCTTTTCATTCCGTTACGTGTGCATGGGCGGCCTTGATCCACGGGCCCTACTTGCACTTTCAAAAATAGGTTTTCTAAAGAAAACTATCGTTCGCCTATCATGCATGAACCAGATTTGTTTGTGGTCTACGCTTCCTTGTGCTAGCAGCATTTTGTGCTTGAAGTCTGGAGTGAGAGGAATGCCATATCGCAACATTTTCTTTTGGATCGGACTTACATAAACAACAGAGACTATGCTAGCTCGAGGTATTGCATTTTATTAAACTTATTTTCCAACATTAGTAATGACATAAGTTAAGCTCGTCAGCCCACGACATTCTATTTTTGTTTTTGTTTATTCTGTAGAGACAATAATTATGTATACATTCATTCGTCTCATTATTGAGACGAATTGTTTCACACGGCGATTCAGCGCAAAGGATGATTTACACATTTTTTCTTCGTACAATTTCTCTCGCCAGGTCTTCTTGTGCTGGTCAGCATTGCTGCCTTCTTTTCCGAGCCGGCTCGCTCCCAGCAAGGAACAGACCTGACTATCCTTCCCGGAGCACGCGGCACGGCTGTCGTGGAGGCTACCGTGTCGAAGATCGATCGCCTGACGGCACTGAACACGGATCTGCGCGCAAACTACAGGTTCATTCGGCGCATCGCTTGGGTTGAAACCGCTGACGGAACTGCGTCCATCACCTACGATTGCGATATGTACCACGGCGGAATATGGAGAGTGGACCGCTCTGTCTATGACATCACCTTCGGATTGTACAACAACCCGAGTTACGCTTCCATCTTTAATGACATCCAGCAGATCCTGGGCATAAACTGGAGCCGGAGTACTTGGCGAGACTGTCGTAAACCTCTGTATTCGGCCGTGGCTGCTCGGCTGTATTTTCACAGTCTAAGCCCACATTTTATTATCCCAGGAGTATGTCAAAATTTAAATTGCCTTGTCATCTTGTGGTGCAAAATGTACCCAAAATAAACCAAGATCTCAACAACTTCGTCTGAAAACAGGTCCAAAAGATTTGTCACTCCATCCCCCCAAATATACTTTGGTTTTCACAACTATCCCTGTTTCTTGCATTATATGCTAGGTGATTTGTTTGCATTTAGGGACTGGAGGGGGGAGTGACCTAACTGTTTGAAATATACTGAATTGTTTTGAATTATTGGTGTTTTACAGTGTTGTAGTCGAGGCCACAACCTCCGAGGCCGAGGCCAAGGCCGAGGCCACAACCTCCGAGGCCAAGGCCGAGGCCGAGGCCACAACCACGAGGCCAAGGCCAAGGCCGAGGCCACCACCTCCGAGGCCAAGGCCGAGGCCGAGGCAAGCTATCAAAACACATAATAAAATATAAATCACTAAAACAAGGCTAAGATTATGTTGGAGTTTTAACATCTTTTCAGTTGAATTCACTGAGTTTTGCAGTACCTGGCTTAAAAAATGTACAGCTTGCAATGGGTTTCCTGTTGTAGGGAGTTTAATTTTTTAAAGAAAGAAATCTCAAGTTTTGTATCACTGAAAGCAAATTACATAACAAATCAATGGCGTTTGAATCAGTCTCATAGGTGTTTGCCCTTTGGAGATACAACAATTTAAATGGCCAACTTTTGAGTTTCTATTCTGTAAGATTTACATCGTTTACTTTTAGCATGTCTTATTAATATCATTTTAAAAACCTATCAAAATGCTTAATATCATAGGAATCCCCATTAAATAAACAACAACTTGATTTTTGAGTCAGGTTTTTACCACTCATAACCAAAAAGTTACGACCCCCCCCCCCCCGACTTTCGCACTGTCCAGGCGCGCGCCCGAGCAAACACCGCGATGCGACCAGACAATGCCAGATGGCCCGCCGTTACGCACGGGCAAAGCATAGTTCCAATCCCGCTCGTACAACGGGATAAGTGTCCACGCATTATCACCGTTAATACAGCGGTACCAGTCAAAGTCTGGCAATGGCCAATCCCGCTCCAAGTAACACGGAACATGCGTGCATGATATCACTCACTCAGTTCATCAAAATGACCATGAATTCTCGGATCATCCGATTTGAATCCAATGGCTTCGAAGAATTTTAAGATCATGGCAAGAGGTAGGGATTCCAGAGGTTTTGGCCGTATATCTGTAACCACGCAAAATTAGTCAATTTCAAACCGTGCTTATACATGTAATAAGTATCAACATGGCTCTAAAAATACAAAAAAGTATCCTGGTACCACGAGGAATACTGACTCTTATTATTAAAACATTCATTCAGAACTTTGCATTCATTTGGATGGAAAAACGAATTATGAAATCGCACTTTCCATATTGACCATTTGCGCCAAACATTACCGTGTGAGCCGGAACTTTCATTGAAATTGCCGTGTAAAAATAAAATCTACTTGATAAATCGTAATTGTTTTTATCATATCTTTATGGGGGGAAAATGGTACGGACTTCTACACACGATCGTACCCAGAAAGTTCAGACTTTTACTGAAACAGTGGCCTATAAAAAGAAATGATTAAGCTTGCCGCACCTTACCGCAAATTATTTTTAAAGGTCGGGGTACAGAGGCGAAACGAGAAAATTTTGTACAACACTGCGACCAGACTAGTCTACTACCACATGTTATTGTACGCAAATGGGAATGGTGCCAGACTTATGTAGTCTGGCACGTGGTAACAGTTATAATGCTTGCACGCACTTGGAAAGCCGAAGCGCAGGCTAGGCGAAAATGCTACGTACGTGAGTACGTATAATGCAACCATTTCCAGTTCATTCGTGCGTATACATTGTATGCGTTCGTTTCACGGAACCCACTGCAGCAGAATCTCGAGGGTTTGATACGGTAAACAAATAAAATTAATTAGAATAGAAAACACATCAAAATAGGCGGCCTCGAGCCGGCCTCGACCGATTCGCCGAGGCCGGAAGGCTCCGAGGCCGAGGCCAAGGCCGAGGCATTGAACCTCCGAGGCCAAGGCCGAGGCCGAGGCCATGAAAATCGGCCTCGAGGCCGGCCTCGAGGCCGAGGCCGGCCTCGAGACCTCCAACACTGGTGTTTTATTTTTAAAGTTTTTCCACGATTTAAGAAGAGTTATTGAGTGCTTTCTTTTTGGATGTTTTGACAGGGACTGAATAATCAAGCGTCATTATGGAGAGTTGGATACCACGATCAACCGACAGGTACGGTGGAGAATTTCATCAGGAAGGTCCGAGCTCTTGAAAGTGAAGGTAAGACATGGAAACCAACAACACTATTTGGATTAAAAGTACAAATACGGGGAAAGGTTGTGAATATCTTTTTTTTTACATTCGTATAGTTGTTTTGGGATTTTCTTTCTGTCTGTAGTTTTCGAAGTGGTCGGCATGTCACTGGTCATGTGCTCATGTGAAGCCAAGATTTTTGCTATACGAAATAGTCGGAGGTCGACTGTTCGTTCAATCAAATGGTCAGTAGGTTGGTTGGTCAGTCGGTCAGTCAGTTGGACATTCGGTTGGTTGCGTCATTGTGCGTTGATTCGTGTTACAGTTTGTTAGTTTATCATAATAAATGTCATTCCTGTTTGTCTAGAATGCGTCCAAGACATAGATCTTGTCTTTGTCTTGGATAGTTCAGGGAGTGTGGGATCTACTGACTTTGAGCAGACCAAGAACTTCGTATCAAATGTCGTGGACAACTTCAACATCAGTGCGCACGAGACCCGCGTTGGTATCATCAAGTATTCCACTAGTTCAGCTTTGAACAGATACACCGACAAAACACAGCTGGTTTATGTTGACATCTTTTAGTCACCATTGACTAAAGCATTGACTCTGCCAATCACTCGTAACATGTATTTCCAGAAACCCCTTTAAAGATCAGACACTTGAATTGCCGGGCCCATAAATCTATAGATTTCTGATTGAGGTACTTTGCTTGAATATTGCAGTGTGTTTATAATTAACAGTATCATCGCATCCGTGTTCATCTTCACCTTGCCAGAATGGTGGGACTTGTTACACGAGTTCGTCTGGGGATCAAATCTACTGCAATTGTTCTGAAGGCTTTCGAGGAATTGCATGTGAAACAAACAGTATGCTTTTTTCTTCATTTTTTTAATCAATTAACAGAAATACAATTTCCTTACTGATATAGGTAGTTTGGTCCTGTATTCAAACATTTCGTGAAGGGTTGGGTTTGGAAGAGAGAAATTCATTTCCCACCAATTTTGTATTGAAGTACAAGTTCATTTTAACCGTAAATCAAATGGCGAGGATCTGAAAGTCAGTTATATAAAATAAATATTGAGTGACTTTAAATTGTGCAATGGGTGGAATATTATCGCTTTATTAATATTGAAATCTGGACTTTTCCATTTCACTAGTGAAATAAAAAGTCCAGATTTACCTTGCGATAATATTCATCCCATTCCACTCTGAGTCACTCAGTATTTGTATAATAAATAATGACAACAAAAATAACCTAGCAATTAAACACAGAAGCCTGCGCAAGAACTAAAGGACAGACACATTTGGTTTCGAACCTTACAATGTTAAAAACCATCTTGTTTTCAGTGTACACTTGCCACATCGAATCAACCGGTAAATCGAATGAGTGTGGGGTTCAAACAGAGTGTGAAGTTGGTGACATCTTAGAATTCCTGGCACAGGTAGGCCATAGACCTTTCCTCTTCATCATTACCTACGTAAAATTGAAATCGAAAATCTTGAGCGCATGGAAATGACTCAAGGTAGTTTAGATAATAGCGACATAAACATAGTTTATGCAATGCATGGATTATGACCGACAAAGCGATTTTTCTCGAGATGCCACATGGAATTTGTCACCTATATTTATACGAAGAAAGAAAACAGTTCCATCAAACGACAGCTAGTACAGTTCGCAATTTGCCTGCACAACCGGTTAGGGTTGGGGTTGGGGTTTGTTCAAAGAATGATACAACGCGTCATGAACTTAGAGGGTACTTAAGCTCTGTGAGCAGGCTACCTGTATACTGGAGCCAGGTATTACATGCAAAAGTAAAATCCTGTAATGAGAATCAGAAATTGTTTGGATGGTAAGCATATGTGGCGATTTACTAAAAAATTACTTAATATTTACTTAATAGGCATCATCTTCATTTTCTTTAAGCGTAGGTTGTGGTACATGAAACCAATGCTCTTAAAGTGTCCGCTACGCTGAAGAACGCGACATCGAGCTTAATCAACGAAGACATTGAAGGGAATGAGCTCTCTCTGACGGCAACAGTTCTGGAGAATATAGCAAATGTAACCAATCCAAGTCTCCAGGCACAATGTCAAGATATGAAGATCCATATTCCTCATTCTCACTGATCGTTATAAATTGTCTCAATAGTGCACGCGCCATTCGCTGGGGCGGATTTCAAAGCAAACGAGCTTTAGATTCTTTTTTAAATTAAAGTGTGTTTGCATCTTGGACGTTAGAAACAATAAGTTTTGTTCTGACAATTTGTGTACAAAAGGTGAGCGTAAACGTCGTCAAGACTGTCGACAACGTTCTCAATCTGCCTAACGAAATCTTCGAAAAGAGTGATGATGATGCTGCTGGAAGGATCCTCCAAACCTTCGAGACACAGCTGACGTACATCCAGGAAAACCTGACGATTGACAACCTGTCGAACCTAGCTGTTGATGTCGTCGTACTTGGCCCAGATTTAGACACCGATTCCGGCATAAGCTACGCTAGCATCCCTAGAGGCGGGTTCCTCGATGACACACTGCAGAACAATGAGGGTCAGTTGAGTTCGGTGACCGAACCACGGGATGACGCCGAAGCATTCATTGGTCTTCCCGGAGAAGCTCTGAAATTGGATGATGAACAAGGTGAAGAAAAACATGCAACGAAGTATTTTTGTAAGAAATGCAAAGAGGGAAACAGGGACAGTTATGTCAGGAACTAAGGCGAATTGAATTGTTTTTAAATCAAAGTATGTGACAATTAATTTGTTTCATGCAGGTTCCAGGATAAATTTGCCTGTTGTTTTCGCCGTGTACCAGACCTCAAAACTGTTTCAGTTAGCCACACCCGAGTCGCTAAGCTTTCCTGACGGGAGACAACTGTTAGTGAACAGTCGCATCGTATCAGCTATCGTCGGAGACCGAGATCAAATCATTGAAAACCTGATGAGCCCTGTTGTAGCGTCTTTCATTTCTCTGGACGTTAGTGACATCGAAAACATTCGGACACAAATATGAAAATTTAAAAGAAAGCTTAAAATTTATTCCATCCAAGCCAAAAGCATACCAAAAATTTGATTCGAAATTGTTGAATGAGGTAAATATTTTTTTGTCACGAGTTTCTTGGACCCGATCCCCTTGTTTCGTTTACTGCCCATGTAAGTCTTTTTTGTTTGTTTTTACAAATACAAATTGAACAAGGTCGCATTTTGATGGTACTCAAGATATTTTTCATTTGTTTTAGACATCACTGACAGGTGAGTCAATCTGTGTCTTCTGGGACACTGCTGCCAGCAACTGGTCCACTGAGGGATGTTCTCAGTCCACGGTCAACCCTGGTCAACGTCCCGTGGCCTGTGACTGCAATCACTTGACTAACTTCGCTATTCTACTGGTGAGTCTAAAGGTGTAATTGATTTAAATTACATTCTTCTGTTTGTGGGGGTGTGCAAACCTGAGTTTTTTGTGTGGCTGTTTATTGCATGCTGTCTGTTTTTGTTTTGTTTTCTCAGAGTTATTATGGTGATATTGACAATTTTGCGTTGGATATCATCAGCAAGGTCGGCTGTGCAGTATCGATCGGGGCGCTGCTTCTGACTATTATGGCTTGCTTGGTGCATGGGTGAGAATTGTGTTATGATGGTTATGGCCAAGTTTCGCCAGTCATGTTATTTAAAGTACCAGATATTGAATAACGTGCGTTAAAAAAGTCTGTTTTCCTCAAGTTTAGGGATCATAAGAGGAATTTTACGTAGGAAAATTATTCTGTGCAACTTTCTACCCCTATTTGACACCCCTTTTTGATTTACACCCCTTTTTGATTTTTCATTAACATTAAAAAATGTTACGTGTTTTTCCTGACGACTGAGGGCGTTGTTGCTTTGTTATTTCAGGGAAACATTGTTCAGTTTAGTGGTCTTTTGTCCAAACTGCGACGAATTGTTGCAACTACAACCGCAACTACAACCGCAAGAAATCCAAAATGCTGTCAGCTTTTGGTGCAGAAGTAGCTTTAAGATGCAGATTTCTGCCTGAATTGAAATGAAATCACGCTTTTGCTTTTGAATATGTAAATTTGCATTAAGAAACCACAAAAGCAAAATACCCTTGAAAATGGCAAAACGAAAATTGAAAATAAGGTTGAGTGGGACACAAAGGTGCATTTTCAAGGAATACATTAAAAAATTATATTGCATGGGCCCTTTAACTTGTTAGGATTCTTGTCAACCGCATGTTTAAAAAAATAACGATTCTGCTTTCGATGAAACAGTGAGCTTAGAAACAACCCGGCGAAGAAGTCCGTGATCAACCTGTGCGTATCCCTGCTAGCCTTGTATGCCGTCTTTCTGGCCGGTATAGAACAGGCTCAGTCCCCGGTCACCTGTGTCATCATGGGCGCTCTGATCCACTACTTCTTTCTGACCTCCGTCTGCTGGGCCTCGGCCGAGGCGCTGAATCTTTTCTACCTGCTTGTCATCACGCGCAGGGGACTGATGACTGGATATCTGTTGAAGATGCTGCTGTTCTGTTGGGGTTAGTTTTAGATTTCCTCATCAATGACATGTACATCAGTCGCCCTCTTAAAAGTATTGTTGAAGGTTAGGCCTTGGGGTCGGCGAGTCAATAGAGTGAGACCATTCTGAACTCACTCTTCATCAGAAGTGTAGAATTGCAACAAATCTTGGGTGGAGTTCCATGCCTATACAGGTCCAATACAAAATTGCTGTACGAAACAAAATCGACATTACAGCTTTAAATGTAGACACTTTGTAGAGCGTTTTTGTTCTTCATTTTCTGGAAACCTAAGTCGTGAAACGTTTTCGAGGTGCGTTTGAAACTAACTGCTATAAAAGCTTTCAGTTATCAACGTGAAGACGGACTTTATTAAGAGGTGAACTTGCAGCTGTAATATACTCAGTAGAAACTCACAAACTTAAAGGTATTTCTAGTGGTTTATAAGGTTTGCCAATGGTGATCGTGGCCTGCACGTTCGTGGTGCCGTATTTGGTCACTGGACAGTGGGAACTCGAGGACGAATAGTAAGTATAAAAGGGTCCTTATGAGATGGATTTTTCTTAGGAACATGTTTTGTGCAGGTATTTCCTCTAGAATGTGGAAACTATTTAAAATCCCTTTTTTGGTTAATTTTATTAAAAAGTACCCTTCTTTACACTTTTTTTGTTTTTGTGGACAACTGAGGGCGCTATTTCTGTGATGTCATTTCAGCAAGGCACTGTTCAGTTTAGGGGTTTTCTGTTCAAATTGTTAACCAAAAGTTTGCTCACTGAAAGTATTTGTGAGAAAAGTTTGCTCATTGGCTTGCTCCCATACACTGACAGATTTACAAGGAATCGTCAAAGAGGAGATTTATATCAGCGAAACCGAAAAATCCTGGCAACTTTTGATGCTGAAATAAAGCTCTGTAACAGTGAGACCTTTACCTGAGATGACGTCACACTTTAGGTCACGAATACGGAAATTCGCGATGTCGCGCAGAACGCACCTGGGGCGTTGCGTTTTGAATTTAGAACTATAAAATTCTGACTCGCCGGTAGTGTTGCGCATGCCTACGTGAGGATTGTGAACGTTCAACCAATAAAACGGTAAGAGGCACTGGATTTTAAGGAGTCAACATTTTATTGTGACACTGGAAAAGTTTTTAAGACCAGCTAGCCATGTCTTTTATCATCCGTTTAATACCGGCCACATGACGGGCTCTCGACCAATAGGAATAGCTAAACTGTCTCAGGTATTTTATGAATTATAGATAATAATTGTTTCTCTTTTGTTTCTCTTTTTCGTTCGAACGCAGATTTTTTTTTCGTTCGAACGCAGATTTTTTTCGTTCGAACGCAGATTTTTTTCGTTCGAACGCAGATTTTTTTTTCGTTCGAACGCAGATTTTTTTCGTTCGAACGCAGATTTTTTTCGTTCGAACGCAGATTTTTTTTCGTTCGAACGCAGATTTTTTTCGTTCGAACGAAATTTTTTTTCGTTCGAACGCAGATTTTTTTCGTTCGAACGCAGATTTTTTTCGTTCGAACGCAGATTTTTTTTCGTTCGAACGCAGATTTTTTTCGTTCGAACGAAGATTTTTTTCGTTCGAATGCAGATTTTTTTCGTTCGAACGCAGATTTTTTTTCGTTCGAACGCAGATTTTTTTCGTTCGAACGCAGATTTTTTTCTTTCTAACGAAGATGTTTTCAATTTTTTTTTCATCTATGTCCCTTTAAAAGCTCCGTACTGTAGAGATCAAGACTGACTACTGTATAGACGAGTTTTACATTGTTGTTAATGAGAGCATGTTCTTACTCGACCTTACTTCAGTCAGATTTGCAAAAACGCCCTGTGAAGCATAACCTGCGAGAATTAAATATTGGATGGTTAACTTGATATTAACTTGAAGTTAATGTGATCGTCTTAAAGAGTTAGATATGTCACACATTGTATCCGCAAACTTATCCCAGTGTAATAATCTTCCAAAGAAGAGTGATTAAAACACACTGACCTGCCTTGCTTCATTATCTAGCTGCTTCTTAACACCTGGCAACGCACTCTACTTTTGCGTCCTCCTCCCAGTTGGCATGATGCTGCTCTTCAACGTCTTCATCTTCATCCTCCTCGTGCGTCGTCTCGTCTGTCAGCGCATCGAGTCCTCAGTAACCCGCCGTGAGACCCACCTAGATGCCTCCATCCGTCACGGTAGACTCATGCTGCCCATAAGTCTACTGCTGGGGGCGACTTGGTTAGTGGGTTTCCTGGCGGTTGAGGATGCAACCTACTTCTTCCAGTGGATCTTTGCCGTACTCAACTCACTGCTTGGCCTGGCTATCTTCCTGCTCTTCATTGTTGGGAAGAAGACGGGGAGGAAAGGGCTTGGGAAGCTGATCTGCGTCGATCAGATCAGGAAGATGACAAGCACCCAGTCATCATCTGCAATCCGTGGAAGCACGCCCCATGGCGTTGATGTCGCATCAACATAACTGATACAAATGACAAGATATACACATTGAGACGATTGGATATTTGTAAGACCAGCCCCCTCAAAAACAAAATTTACATTTTGTCGAGATCACTATGCAAAGCTTCAAATTGGCAGAAATTGAAAAGGCCTTTTTATTAATGTGATGTATGAATTGTACACTGATATAACTCTGTCTGCAGGTTGACTAGATTATGTTACGTAATCCTATATATAGAGTTCTTTTCTTTCGCGTAATTATTTACCATTTTCATTTAATTGGAGTTAGACCAGTCGAACTATATATCGTAAGTTCGGATATGCCTACAGTTATAGTGGTAACTATAGTAGTAATATTTTATACCCTCTAGCGTTGATATAATGCTTCTGTATTGGTATATTATCCAATCTTTTTTTTGTAAAATTTTAACAGCTTTTATGTTAATGAACAAGTTAACTCTACCAATTATGTTTGAGAGAAAGTATAAAGGAGCTTAAACTTGCTTAAAGTTATATTTTTTTATAAACTTAGTTTTTTCCCCCGGCATTCTCCGTGGTCTATTACACAAGGACGGATACAGAACACAATTTTTTTTTGGGGGGGGGGGGGGGGCAAACAATTTTGGTCCCCAAAAAGTGTGTCCAAAAAAATGACGGCGTGGGGTTCGGTGCCCGCTTAAGGGCCCTGAAAAAAATTCGGGTCAGTGACCTGTCTATCGATTCCCGTAAAAAGCAAAATCAGATCTTATAACAGTTTATGTTATAATGCTTTTCAAAGATTAAATCTAGAAATCTTCGGTTGCTTGTAACTACCCAAAAGCTCGAGAGCTATGTTAATTGTGCTATTTGAAGCAAAATTCTCGATTATCATGTCGTCCACTTTGAAAACGACAGACAAATAGAAATTCCTAAAACAACAACGAATGTAAAAAAAAAAGAGTTATCCACAACCTTTCAATGTTTGTACTTTTAATCTTAAAAGTGGAGATTGGTTTCAATGTCTTACCTTCACTTTCAAGAATGTCGACCTTTCTGATGAAATTCTCCACCGTATCTGTCGGTTGGTCGTGGTATCTATCTCTCCATAATGTCGCGTGATTATTCAGTCAAAACATCCAGAAAGAAAGCACTCAATAGTTTTTCTTAAATTGTGGAAAGATTAAAATAAAACAACACAAACTAGACTTGTGTTTGTGGACACACACATAGCTGTTTCGACTGTTTTAGTAACAACTGCCATGCAGGAGTTTCATCCAAGTCCAATGTAAATGTACATGAGTATTCTTCAGATGGTGGTTTATTTGTTGATCTTGTTTGCTTGGAGTTCATGCATACAATCATGACTGGTCGTCAGCCAATTGCAAATATTCTTCATGTTGCGGTCAGGCGCGGATATCCGGGAAGGGGGGGGGGGTATGTAGGGTTTGACTTAGCAGTAGTATCAAAGTATGTCCGTACTGTTGTTGTTATTGCTTTATGATACGTGGGCATTATTTCATAACGGTACCACCGCATATAAGTGATGTTTCTTTCAATTGCATTTTATACTAATTAAATACGAGAATATCCAGACAAATGATAGGGGTAGGAATAGGGATTGAAGGATGTAAAGTATTATGATAAAAGCATTGTCGACGTGATCACAGAACACTGTTTGGTAATTTTTGTAAGATCGAGTATACCGTCAAGATATTAATTAGTCTTATTGATTAAACAGCAGTGTTGGAGGTCTCGAGGCCGGCCTCGGCCTCGAGGCCGGCCTCGAGGCCGATTTTCATGGCCTCGGCCTCGGCCTTGGCCTCGGAGGTTCAATGCCTCGGCCTTGGCCTCGGCCTCGGAGCCTTCCGGCCTCGGCGAATCGGTCGAGGCCGGCTCGAGGCCGCCTATTTTGATGTGTTTTCTATTCTAATTAATTTTATTTGTTTACCGTATCAAACCCTCGAGATTCTGCTGCAGTGGGTTCCGTGAAACGAACGCATACAATGTATACGCACGAATGAACTGGAAATGGTTGCATTATACGTACTCACGTACGTAGCATTTTCGCCTAGCCTGCGCTTCGGCTTTCCAAGTGCGTGCAAGCATTATAACTGTTACCACGTGCCAGACTACATAAGTCTGGCACCATTCCCATTTGCGTACAATAACATGTGGTAGTAGACTAGTCTGGTCGCAGTGTTGTACAAAATTTTCTCGTTTCGCCTCTGTACCCCGACCTTTAAAAATAATTTGCGGTAAGGTGCGGCAAGCTTAATCATTTCTTTTTATAGGCCACTGTTTCAGTAAAAGTCTGAACTTTCTGGGTACGATCGTGTGTAGAAGTCCGTACCATTTTCCCCCCATAAAGATATGATAAAAACAATTACGATTTATCAAGTAGATTTTATTTTTACACGGCAATTTCAATGAAAGTTCCGGCTCACACGGTAATGTTTGGCGCAAATGGTCAATATGGAAAGTGCGATTTCATAATTCGTTTTTCCATCCAAATGAATGCAAAGTTCTGAATGAATGTTTTAATAATAAGAGTCAGTATTCCTCGTGGTACCAGGATACTTTTTTGTATTTTTAGAGCCATGTTGATACTTATTACATGTATAAGCACGGTTTGAAATTGACTAATTTTGCGTGGTTACAGATATACGGCCAAAACCTCTGGAATCCCTACCTCTTGCCATGATCTTAAAATTCTTCGAAGCCATTGGATTCAAATCGGATGATCCGAGAATTCATGGTCATTTTGATGAACTGAGTGAGTGATATCATGCACGCATGTTCCGTGTTACTTGGAGCGGGATTGGCCATTGCCAGACTTTGACTGGTACCGCTGTATTAACGGTGATAATGCGTGGACACTTATCCCGTTGTACGAGCGGGATTGGAACTATGCTTTGCCCGTGCGTAACGGCGGGCCATCTGGCATTGTCTGGTCGCATCGCGGTGTTTGCTCGGGCGCGCGCCTGGACAGTGCGAAAGTCGGGGGGGGGGGGGTCGTAACTTTTTGGTTATGAGTGGTAAAAACCTGACTCAAAAATCAAGTTGTTGTTTATTTAATGGGGATTCCTATGATATTAAGCATTTTGATAGGTTTTTAAAATGATATTAATAAGACATGCTAAAAGTAAACGATGTAAATCTTACAGAATAGAAACTCAAAAGTTGGCCATTTAAATTGTTGTATCTCCAAAGGGCAAACACCTATGAGACTGATTCAAACGCCATTGATTTGTTATGTAATTTGCTTTCAGTGATACAAAACTTGAGATTTCTTTCTTTAAAAAATTAAACTCCCTACAACAGGAAACCCATTGCAAGCTGTACATTTTTTAAGCCAGGTACTGCAAAACTCAGTGAATTCAACTGAAAAGATGTTAAAACTCCAACATAATCTTAGCCTTGTTTTAGTGATTTATATTTTATTATGTGTTTTGATAGCTTGCCTCGGCCTCGGCCTTGGCCTCGGAGGTGGTGGCCTCGGCCTTGGCCTTGGCCTCGTGGTTGTGGCCTCGGCCTCGGCCTTGGCCTCGGAGGTTGTGGCCTCGGCCTTGGCCTCGGCCTCGGAGGTTGTGGCCTCGACTACAACACTGTTAAACAGACTTCTTTTCGAGTGTAACAGCGCTCAATATAATGAACACGAATTGTAACAGATGAGAGAATTAAAAGGGAGAGCCTTGATTCGTGATAAAACTCACTACAAGGTAGACCCAGGTTAAGTGACATTAAACAGCCGTCTGATTGAAACTCCCTCATAACCGGTTGTTTAAGTATAGGGCTTGGCAAGGACTTCGTACTTTTCAAGATGCACGATTCAATTTGCGAAGGAGGACGGTGTAACAATGATATTAAGAAGGTGCCCGGTCAAACTTTCACAATGCGATGGTACAGGATTCATATTGCGAAGAAGCAAGGTGCAAGGTTGACATCAAGCATGATCAATGGTGTACATTGAGAAGATCGAACGTGAACATTAACAAGATGGCACATTCACATTAAGCAGGAAGTACTTCCACAATGCGATATAAAGGTACGTGCAACGTGCATATTGCGAAGGTACAACGTGAACATTAGGAAGTTGAAAGGTTCATATTAAGAACGTCAATATTAAAATGTCGTTCCAGGGCCACCGTAGACAGAGCTTTTGAAGTGCTCAGTGAATACACCTAAAATGTATTTTTAAATCTGATACATGTACATGTACATCTATATAGTAATGATCAAGGAGATCACAAACTAGGAGTCCCTATTTTCTACGAATCATTCATTATATATCATGGTTCATTGGCTCTGTCACTAACATTATTATTTCTTCTCATATAATAATTTTGGAACTGCACAGAGCCATCCCTTTACTATAATACGCCGAAGGAGATGACGAACCGAAAAGTGTACGAATGGAAATCGTTTTTTTTTTTTTTTTGTGATAGCGATTAATTATCCCTTGAGAATTGTGTGAATCGTTATTAGCTTACCCCGCGTAGCAAAATGTAGTTACAAAAATTATTGAGTTTTCAAAAAAAATCCGAGATAATGATACATTTGCGCTTTTCAAAGCTCTAAGGATATAAGTATATTACTGAAAGAGTGTTCCATCATCTATTTTGAAGAACGTATTCATTTTTTAACTAAACATAATATTTACAATACAGTGGTGTTACACATCTTACATAAAAAAAAATCATTGAAATTAATTAAGGCAAGGAATTTGGTCACGGTGTCCAAAATGTTGTTGTGATCAATTGACAATTGCGCCGTCATGCAAGGAGTTGAGGCCCGGCCAGGCTTCGGAGTACCTGCACAACTAAATATTTTGAAATTGACCTCATAGTTTAGAAGTTATCTTCAAAACAGTCTGACGCACTTTTTCTGGGGGGCATACTGTATATACGGGGCTGTATCGTATTAAAGTCCAAACGCCTGAAAAGTCCGACGCCTCATAAGTCTGACATTTCGGACTTATTAGGCGTCGGATTTATGAGGCATTGGAGTTGGCTAATCGACCTTATATCTCCGACGCCTCATAAGTCCGACGCCTCATAATTCCGACAACGGACAAATGAC